GTGATAGGTGCAAAAGTGGACTAACAAAAGAATATAAGAGGGAGGTTTTTCAATCTACGCATGTAGTATTAATATCTCTCTGCAAAAGAAATTAATAAAAGATTTAATAGTAAAGAATTCATGACCTTTATGAAACAAATGTATATCCAGCAAAAAGGATCATGATTGTTTGATTAAAGACATCAATCTAAACAAGCAAAAAATTGCATGCTTTGTTATTTGTCATGTCAAGGTTGTCCAATTTGATCTAAACTTCCCATTATCATCCTTTAACTAAGTTCTAGAACAGCTAAATGCGGGTAATTTGGCTTCAGTCTTAATTAACAAAATGAACATTATTAGGCATAGTTTTTTGGGGCCCCTACATACATGCCACTTAATTCCTATGTATTATCATATCCAACACCTAAACTTTATTTTTTATACTTATACCACCCAAATCTCTCATATTTCATCAAAAATACCACCTTTTCAAGTTCAAATCGTGAAATTCACATTTTCATGCATAGGTAAAGCAGAGATATGCAAAAATTTAAGTTCAGGTATTAAATACATAAATACATAGAAAATGAGAGGTATGTACGTAAATCTTCCAAGATTTTTATTATGTTAAATGATGAAATTCGTCCTAATTGTGATGAGTTGCCAAACCTTGCCAGATGAGCCGAAAAAGCACGAGCAAATGCCTCGCCCCTACGTTTAGCATCATCAGTACCGCCCTCGCTAGCTACAGCCTATCGCATAAATGTTTAATAGAAAGAAAATTAACACCATTTTCTCAGTTGAATGTATTGCATCAAAAAGTTTCAAGTTCAAGGAAAATTCAACAATAACATAAATATTCAAAAATAAAAGGCTATCTACCACAAGGTGAAGAAGAAGAGAGAAATTTCACAAGCCCAACAAATCAAAATCCTAAAAAGGAGAGAGTGAAGAATGCTTTTGAAAATCCAAAGGCCTTAGAAGGAGTTCCTAATAGTACATAGATCTCTCAAAAGATAAAATTACCTAATTCAAAGTACATAAAAGCTTTAGGTAGATTCTTAAATATCCCAAAATTATTGCCAAATGATTTATATGTAGCCAATTTAGTTCCAAAATACTACTTTTTTTCAATTTAGTTGTCAACTATATAAAATTGAACTGAAATTGTCTGTCGAAAACTAAATTGGGATTAATTTTGCATAGTTGAGAGATTAAATAGAAATAAATTAAATTCTATACAAGAAACAAAATTTAGATCAATTTTGCATAATCGAGGAACTAAATTAAAAAAATGTGATATTTTGGAATAAAATTGTCCATATAAGAATAGTCGGGGACTATATTGGAATTTAATCTCTGTATATAAAGCTATTTAACTCTGCAATGCGATCCACCATTCAAACACTTGGCCCTTTATGACAAGTTGCAAAGCTAAAACAAAACTCCTAACACCAAAGACTTCCATGCATTTTCTAGTTCAAACATTATGGACCTCAATGACAAATTGTAATTAACTAGAGCCAAGCTATCGTCCAATATTTAACCATAAAAATTCTTCACAAAAGAAAGAGAAAAAAACGCAAATTTCAAAGAGGGATAGACTTTTCAGCATACCTTATCAACAAGATCAGGCATATGTTCTGATAGCACAGTGAACCAATACCTGAAGAAGCCAAATAAATGCAGGCGAGACAAATTAAATTAGGGAAATTTACATGTATCTCACACCTAAACTTTCATATTTACAAATATACCATTTTGGGGTTTTAAACCTCAAGAAAAGGTATACTTTTCTTTTAAAAAGTGGTAATAGCAGTATTTTAGATGTGATATTAAAACTTTGAGTGTTATTTGTGTAAATATAAAAGTTTAGGTGTGAGATATGTGAACACATTAGAATTGTGTTATATGTATGTATATACCCCATTAAATTAAAATTTGGTGATCACTCTTTATTCAAAATGACAAACTAAAATCAAGAAGAAAGGTAGAAATGAATGATAACATACTCGAGTTCACTATGATCTGATAGATCAACCGTGTTTGGCTCGTACCTGTAATAAATTCAAAAATTAAAATTTTCACACTCATGCTTTAGTTAAATAGACACTAGGAGGAAAATAACATAGGCAAATAACTAAACTGCAGATTGAAACTAATCTTTTTCTCAATAGATTCATTAGCGAAAGGAGTAGTAAAAGAGTCAAAGAAGATTGAAAAAGTTCCTTGGCAAGCAAAATATTTGGTATTTCTACTTAATTGACTATAAAGAAGGAAGGGAGGACATTTCCATCCTGAAACTGATACTGGAGTTGACCCAAACCACAATAAGAAAGCAAATAGTGTTATGGAAATGAGAAATAACAACAACATGACACAAACACCACTAGGAATGTACGGGTGCTAGGTGGTTGTGCAAGTTTGGAGAAGGGCGGTGGGCTGCAGAAGAGAAGATGAGGCTGGACAGCGGACATGATTTACAATCTGAAGGTCTGGAAGGAGAGGGGAAGTTGGCGACTGGACTGGGGAGAGGGGAAAATGGCTACGGTTGAATTGCCGGTGGGGAAGTCATAAATAGACAGGAGGCTGCGGGAGGGGTAACAGAGGAGGTCTGGAGCTGGAATGGCATGAGGGAGTTTGGGGCAGCAGGAGGCGGCAAGATAGTTGTTCTTGGTGAGGTGGATGGCTGCAGCGGTGACGATGATGGTGAGGACAGCGGAGGCAAGGCTGCGGAGGATGTGAAGAGGTCAAGGATAATTACCACCTCCGACGAGATAAAGTTGGAGCATCATCCATCGTCGGATACAGCCCTAGAATGAAAAACCTAGATGGCAATGGCTGTCCTGACAAAAAAAAATGAAAAAAATCGACTCCAATACAATAGAAAAAAATATATATATAGCCTAGGGTAAAGTAGAGTGGCCCCCAACTAATAGGCGGCCACCCCAAGCACGCAAATCGACCACTCAACTTGTGGTTTGCTTGGACCAGACGATCTCGTAGGAGTTCTGTCCCGCTCCCACATCTGAAACTAATAAAGATTAGGAAGATTTAAATGCATGCAACTTAACTCCTACGTATTTAGATATCTAACACCTAAACTTCAATTTGTCCATACAGACCACCTTACCTATTCATGAAAAGATGAATTTCACATTTTAAAAATTAAAAATGAAGGTAATTTTTAGGTGATAACACTGTCATTGCCGATTTCAAGCCTAGATGTGAAAAGTGGAGGGTTGCGTTAGGTAGTCGACAATCAGCGTAAAACTTGTCGAAAAAATCATGACATGAATTCTTTTGATCAGGTAAGTGCTAGGGCGTCCCCTGAAAGCGACGCGTTGTATAGCCTGAATACAGTGAAAAGTGTGCAAGAGCCGCTACACCGGCGCTCTGGTATGTCAAAGAAATGGCCGGAAATGATGGAGATCCATCTAAATCACTTGCTGTCATCAAACCGACGGCAAGAAAAGCCTCAATCTATAGGATCTTAGAATATAGGTACTCTCAATGGTAAATTAATGGAATTAGTTGATCTTATGATTCATAGGAAAATTAATATCTTATGTATTCAAGAAACTAAATATGTTGGAGAAAAGGCTAAGTAGATTGATAATTTAGGTTTTAAACTTTGGTATTCTGATAAGAGTCGCACTAGAAATGGTGTAAGTGTAATTATAGATAAAAGTTCGAAAGATAATGTTGTAAAAATTAATAGAGTTGGAGATATAGCTCTTAAGATTATCATTGATGCTAAGATTTTTAATATTATAAGTGTATTCTCCTCAAGTATGCTTAGATAAAGGGTCGAAAGATAAATTTTGGAATGACTTAGAAGACTTAATACAAATGATACCTCTTGAAGAAAGAATTTTTATTGGAGGAGATTTAAATGGACTTGTCAGCAGAGTGGTAAAAGACTCCAGAAATACTCATGGTCGAACAATCGAACAATTTGGCGATATTGAGAAGATGTCGGTATCCGAGGCGATAGGTCGTCTCAGAACCTTCGAGGAAGGGCTTAAAGGGCGACTGCACTCAAAGGGTAGTGGAGAACAGTTACTCCTTACCCAAGCCGAGTGGGAGGCAAGAATCTCAAAGGCAAAGAAAAATGAAGGTTCCAACAACAACTTTATTTTTTTATGAGAAAAAGAGATCGTCGAGATTATAAAGATTGTAAGGTCATTCCTAGTGAGAATTTAATTACCCAACATCGTTTATTAGTTCTAGATTTTAAAATAAAAGAGTAGTAAATAAAGAATATTAGGACTCGTCATCATAGAATTAGATTGGGGAATCTAAAAGACAAATAAAATCATTTTTATTAGCTAAATTCAAGATTTCAAAATTTAGGATGTTCATGAAGAAGTAAATGTTATGTGGGATAAAGTAACAAACACTATTAAACAAGTAGCAAAAGATATGCTTGGAGAATAAAAAAAAGTTTCTATAAATAAAAATAGTTAGTGGTGGAAAAATAATGTGCAAGAAAAGATAAAATATAAGAAGTTATTTTATAAAAATTAGTTTAAATGTAAAAGTTTAGAGAATTGGGAAAAATATCAAACGACCTATAGAGAGTCTAAAAAAATAATTTATAATACTAAAAATTCTGTTTTTAAAGATCTTTATAATAAATTAGATACTAAGGAGGGTGAAAAATATATGTATAAACTAATCAAACAAAGAGAAAAGAAAAGTAAAAATTTAACTCAAGTAAAATGTATTAAAAATGAAAATCATAAAGTACTTTTCTTAGCAAAAGATATTAAACATAAGTGGGTGAGTCACATTGATAAACTTTTTAATGAAATTTCTGAAAATACGATCGACCTTAGCGATCTTAATATCGTGAATAATAATTAATATCGTGAATAATAATGAATAATAATAAAACGTATCATTTTTACTGTCGCATTAGTAAAAAAGAAGTTGAGGAGGCTTTAATGAAAATCAATGGTGGAAAATCTGTAGGACCTGATGATATCCCAATTGAAGTGTGGAAATATTTGGGAGATTTGGGAGTTTCTTGGCTTACTAAACTCTTTAATATTATTTTAAAAACTAAAAAGATGTCCGAGGAGTGGAGGAAGAGTATTTTGATCCCCATTATTTTGGTCCCCATTTCTGCACAAGAGTGTGCAAATTATAGAGGAATTAAGTTGATGTATCATACTTTAAAATTATGGGAGAGGGTAATTGAACATAGGTTAAGATGCATCACGAAAATTTCTCATAATCAATTTGGATTTATGCCTGGCAGGTCTACTATGGAAGCTATACATTTATTGAGAGGTTTGATGGAGAAGTTCAGAGATAATAAGGAGAATCTACATTTGATTTTTATTGATTTAGAAAAAGCTTACGATAAGGTCCTTTGGAGAGTTCTTTGGAGAGTTCTTGAGAAGAAATGTGTTGATACGACTTATATTCAAGTCATTAAATATATGCATATTAGAGTTATTACTTGTGTCAAACTGAAGGAGGATTGACCAAATATTTTCCTATTTCTGTCCTATTTCTGTTGGATTACATTAGGGATCAGCTCAGGGATCGGCTTCAAGCACATATCTTTTTGCTTTAGTTATGGATGGTCTTACTGGACATCTACAGGAGGATGTACCTTGGTGTATGGTTTTTGTTGATAATATCATTTTCGTGGATAAAACGAGAGAAAGGCCCAAGAAAAACTTGAATTATGAAGGTCTACATTGGAGTCTAAAGGCTTTCATTTAAGTAGAACTAAAATTGAATAAATGGAATGTAATTTTAGTAGTAGTAGCTCTAGTGATAGAAATGTGACTTTGGCTGATCAAATTATTAAAAAATGTGAATGATTTAGATATCTTGGGTCCCTTGTTCAAAGCGATGGTGATATAGATGGGGATGTTAATAGTAGAATTCAATTTGCGTGGTTGAAGTAGAGGAATGCTTCGAGCCTTTTGAGAGATAGAAAAGTACCTCTTAGACTAAAAGGAAAATTTTATAAGACGGTGGTGAAACCTGCAATGCTCTATGGCGTTGAATGTTGGCCTTTAAAAGAGAAGCATAATAATAAGTTAAGTGTTGTCGCGATTAGAATGATTAGGTGGATGAGTGGCTTTACACTTAGAAACAAAATGTGAAATGAATATATCCGTGATAGGGTTGGTGTAGCTCCTGTTACTGACAAAATTAGAGAAAGTCGTCTTAGATAGTCTGGTCACATTAAACGTCGATGATTTGATTAGGAGAGTAGATGTTTTATATTCTTTTATTATATTCGACTTGTGTTAAGAAAGGCAGATGTAGACCTAGGAAGACTAGGGCTTATTGTATAAAAAATTATCTTAATTTACTAGAACTAAATGAAAATATGACACTAAATAGGACGCAATGGAGAAAAATGATTCATGTAGCAGACCCCACGTAGTGCGATTGAGGCTTTGTTGGTTTTTGTTCTTGTTGTTGTTGTATTTTTTAGGTGATACGAAAGATTTTAATGGTATGTATGTAAAAAAGTAAAGTATAAATGTTAGATATGTAGATTCATAGGAATTGGGTGGTATGCATGTAAATGGTCCTAAAGATTATTTATCACAATGCACACAAAATAAAGTTGATTTTCCTCATAAGTACCAAGCCAACAAATTGGTATTTTGCAACTAAATTGAATATTACATTCCAATACATGAGCGAACACCATACAAGACATAATATAATTAGATTTCTGTCATAAATCCTTTGCTAAGAAAATTATTTAATCGAACTAATGGGGTACTAAACAGCGAGCAGATTATTATGATGGAATAACATACTCAATTGCTCAATATTTCCATCATCAGCACTAATAAAAGAATGTACCAAAATTGATGAAACCAAAATATCATAATGCAATTAGATTACAATCAATTTAGCCATAATAATAGTATTTAGTAAGCTGACAGAAATGGACCACAATCTAGAATATTATGATGGCATATCGTACTATAGAAGAAAAGTATTTACACGGTTATGTTAATCCCGGAGTCTACAAAAGTGTCAAAATAATCTCTCAAATACATTTAATGGGAGTTAAAATAGTTCTCAGTATGTGGATTAAATTGACACTTTTATAGACTCTAGGAAAATAATCCCCTGCAAGAAGTCAGGTGATCATGTTGACATTTTTTTGTATTGTACTAACAAGGCAGGAATTTCAATCATGAATACTATTTAAGAAATTTGTTATAGTTAAAACCAATTACATCATTAGCAACTGCTTACTTCTTTGGGTCGGACAATAAAGGAAACACCTCCAATGAAGGTACGAGATGCAGAACACCAATATTTAGTGCAGCACTGGCATCTGAACGCAGTGTGCTGCCTCTAGATGAAGGACGTTCAAAACCCCCCATGCCTGTAGTTCCAGGCGGAGCCATCGGGACTGGAGCTGTAATCTCAGTACCTTTCTGTATAAATTTCTCCATCCAGGAAATCTGCACGGCTGCTATCATCAAAACTAAACAAAAGGGTGACTTTGCAAAAGATAATGGGCATTGAACAACAAAAATTAAAGGTATGAAAGTGTAAACAATGATTAACAGAGAAAAAAGTGTCAAAATGGTACCCTAACTATTTGTAGGGATTCATTTTAATTCCAAAATCTATAAAAGTGTCAATATAGTCTCTAGACACTTTTACTGAAGGCTAAAATAGTACTTTCTGAGTTCTTTTTTAGCCATATTAAAAATAGTTTAGGGACTAATTTGATATTTTTATACGTTCTAGGACTAAAATGACCCCATGTAATTTGTCAAGTGACTATTTTGAAACTTTACTACATTAAGAGATCTTCACAAAGTTGGAATTTCCCATATTCAGGAGAATAAATTTAAAACATTAAAAGAGTATTGTGGAGATCTTATTCTAAGAATATAGATCAACATAGACATAAAAAAAAGGTCACCGATTTCTTAAAATTGCATTTATAATCACTTGCTACCAACATTTCTCCCTATAACACATGACTCTGTTGCAAGTTATATAACCTTCAACAAACAAAGAAAATTAACAGATAGAAGGGACATTTACAAACATACCATACAAATGTACTGTATTTACATGTCTGACACCTAATGTTTGATGTTTACATGCATGTCACTCGGCATATGCAAGAAAGATTTTAGACAAATGTGGCAAGAAAGATTGTAACCCTTCACAAGTTCCGATGGAATCACTTGCTACCAACATTTCTCCCTATAACACATGACTCTGTTGCAAGTTATATAACCTTCAACAAACAAAGAAAATTAACAGATAGAAGGGACATTTACAAACATACCATACAAATGTACTGTATTTACATGTCTGACACCTAATGTTTGATGTTTACATGCATGTCACTCAAAATCTTTTAACATCACATAAAAAATATCACCATCACTAGCTTTTTAAGAGTGAAATACACATTTTCATACATAGGTTTATGATACCAAGGTGTTATGAATGCAAATATCAAACTATGTTAGATATATAAATATATAAGATCTGTGGGTATATATGTAAATTTTCCAAGATAAAAATGGTACGATCAAACAATAAAGCCAGTGAATGGCAAGGGCAAATAAAACATATAGAAATTAAAAAAAAAACTTGCGATATTTTTTTTACCTTTTCATTAAGGTCGCCAAGAGGCGGACCATGAATCTTGCCCCCCACATAAGGCGCACCCATAGGGAATCTTTCAACGAGTTGATGGGCCATCAAGTCATCTAGACCATGCTTTTCATAGCTCATAAAAGCACCAAGTGCTCCTAGAAAACCCTCATGCCGTAGAAACATGGCTTGTGCCTGCCCTTTGGACCTAATACAAAAGCCCAATTAATGAACAAATGAAGTTAAAAGTAAAAAACAAGAAAAAAAAAACAAGGCATTGGCATTCATTAGAAAAAAAAGAAGTCCTAGCATGTCTAAGTAGAATGATATATGATAGAATGGAAGATTTACATAAATACCACTCAATTCTTATGCATTTATATATCTGATACTAGAACCAACAGAAAAAACAGTGGAAATACTAAAGCAAACTTTAATTAATATTAAAATAAGGTTATAACATGACTCGAACGGACATAACAACACAACATAAAAACGACACAAGCAAACACTCTTAAATGTATCCCAACGAGTGGTGGAGGTCAGCTAGAGGGATAAGGGAAGGGTTGACGGCAGCCACGGGAGGCAGGTGATAGTAAAGGGAAGGCGCCACAGAAGCGGGTGGTAGCGAAGGGAAGATGCGAAACTATAGGGACAGCAAGTGGGGAGGGTTGTAGGTGGTCGGTAAAGGTAGTCTGGTGGTTGGGAGAAGTTTGAAAAGAGTTAGGGCGGCAGGACGATAGTAATAACTTGCAAGAAGAGAGAATGACTGAGTGTCGGGATGATAAAGGGAGAGTTCGGCAGTTGAGGAGTGGGGTGAAGAAGGTTTGAGGAAGGTAAAAAAGAAGGATACAATCACCACCTCAGAGTAAATACAGCCGAAGCACCACCAACTCCTCATTACAGTCCACAAAAGGGAAAAAATTCCACACAGGAATTTGAGAACAAACACAACCAAATCTTACTCCACACACACAAAGGAAAACAATTTATAGGCTCCCAGGAAACTTTTACACAAAAGGAAAAGGAGGGAAAGTGAGAGGAATTCAGAAGACACTACAAAGCTTCCTGGATCACACTACATCCCCACGGATCGCGAAATTTTGTGATCCCTGCCTCCCGCCTTCGCGAGGGATCGCGAGTCTCGCCCTCCCCACTGTTCTGGCGTGTGTTCACAGGCCTTCAATCCCGTGGAATCGAAGCTCCCGGTATTGGGCGCATTCAGCGCTTAGGGGTGTTGTTTAAGCGTCGGTTTTAGGGCACTATTAGCGCTTGTGTCGGTCTCCAGAGGTTGGGGGAAGCTTTGACGCCATAGATTGAAGCTTTCGTTTCGTACTCAGACACCCTTGGATCCCACTAGCAATCGCGCTTGTCTCTCGAGGTGTTTGAGGGTCTTCTCCCACGTACGTGCAAACATCCACCTCAATCCCATCTTTTGAGACTGTGTGCCCTGCACGTACTGTTGAGTTTTCCCAAAATATCTCACAGGCGAATCAATTTGATGTGTCGTGAGAGTGGTCTGAACCTTCCTGCTCTGGGGTGGAGTGGGAGATACGTTATCGACTACGAGACCCTGAAATCCTATTTGTCGTACTTGCCCCGTGTTAAGAGTCGGTATCATGGTCAGCTCATTCTGTGTCGCCACTAATTCTAGTTCCCCTGACACTGCTCTGCTGATAAGGGATCATATCACCTAGGGTGTCGCCGTTGGAAGGAAGGTGATGAGCTTCCTAAATTTTCTCATCACAATGATACATTTTTCTTAAATTAAATGGCAGCTAGCCTGACTCGTTCGTCCTCTAGTTCATCTTTATATTCAAAAATTTGTTTAACTGATTGCAGTCAGTCGAACTTGGTGAAAGAATATGTATTTTTATATCCGTCGTGATAATTCCTCCAATTAAATCCCTACGGTCATTACAAAAAAAGGAGGCATGCATCCATAGGAACAACGTCACACTATACCCGCTCTTGTAGCTGACCTCCAATCGAAAATTCTACCAAGCATATTCGGTTGATGCTTACCCAATTCTCTTTCTTCAGCTACATCAGTGAATATGGTTGGGAATGCCTCTGAGTCGCAAGTCTCATCTCTCTATCATCTGTGTCGATGTCATGTTCTTGTTGCTTCCGCCGTCAATGATTAGTCTGCATATTTTTTCGTTTACTATGCAATGAGTGTAGAATATGTTGTGGCGAAGCCACTGCGTATCCCTTGTGTCCTCTGTTTGCAAGATCTGTTGAATTATGAGTGTTTTTCCTTCATCTCGTGGGAGTTAGTGGTGGAGGTCTGCTAAATGGATAAGAATGATTGGGAGGGGTGACGACAACCACAGGAGGCGGGTGGTAGTAAAGGGAATGTACGGAACTGTAGGGACAGCAAGTGGGAAAAGTTCTAGGTGGTCGACAGCGATAGTGTGGTGGTCTGCTAAATGGATAAGAATGATTGGGAGGGGTGACCGACAACCACAGGAGGCAGGTGGTAGTAAAGGGAATGTACGGAACTATAGGGACAGCAAGTGGGAAAAGTTCTAGGTGGTCGGCAACGATAGTGTGGTAAGCCTATGTCTGTTGAGATATATATCCTTATCAGTCACGGTAATTGTGGGTGACAGCATGCCTGAAGGTTGCTGTCTTAAAGATGATTTTTATTGGCTCTGCTTTAGTTGTTTTTCTACCTTCAAGGCTAATGTCTGAACATTCCCTAGTATCCACCATGGCTGCAACTGTACTACATTGTTGATGGCGGGTTTTAGACTCCCGAGATATTTGGCTATCATATGTTCCCCTAGCTTCGTCAGTTCGCAGTTCAGCTGCAAGTGGTCGAATAAAGATGTGGACTCCTCAACTAAAAGACCCTTTCGTTGGAAGTTGTGAAGTTTTAGAAATATATCCCGGCAATAGTGGGGTGGAAGGTACTTTTTCTGCATTGCCTTCTTCATATTCTCCCATTTAGTTATCTTCTCGTTGTCTTCTCTTTTCCTCTGTTTTTATAAATTTTCTCATCACAATGATACATTTTTCTTAAATTTAATGGCAGCTAGCTTGACTCGTTCATCCTCTAGTTCATCTTTATATTTGAAAATTTGTTTAACTGATTGCAGCCAATCGACACAACTCATCGGGATCCATAACTCCTTCAAATTCTGGGAGGTTCATCTTGATGTCAAAGTCCCGTTGACCTCCATGAGGGAACTTTCCTCCAGGCCTCCTTTGATACTGAATACCAAAATGATGTGGTCAATACTCCTAATCACTGTGATTTTTCCTGTGGAACGTATTCATCTCCCCGTCTCTGTCTTCTCTACTTTCTTGATCGCATTCGAAGGTAATCTCTTCTTGATTTACGTCATCTAACTCTGTTAGTCTCCGTTGCAGACGATGAATTTCTTGTTGAATCGCTTCCCGGGTCAGGCCCAGTGTAACTCTTCGCGGGCTAGGGTTGGGAATTAACAGGAAAAACTTTGGTGGAGGTGGTCTGGGTAGAGGCGAATGCTAGGAGACCCAAAAATGAGACTAGAGTTGAGCTAGCTTTGATACCAAATGATACTAGAACTCATAAAAAAAATAGTGAAAACACTAAAGTAAACTATCTTCAATATTAAAATAGGGTAACAATACTCAAATGTAAATAAAAACACAAAACATAAAAATGACACAAACAAACACTCTTAAATGTATCCCAATGGGTGGTGGAGGTCTGCTAAATGGATAAGAATGATTGGGAGGGGTGACCGACAACCACAGGAGGCAGGTGGTAGTAAAGGGAATGTACGGAACTATAGGGACAGCAAGTGGGAAAAGTTCTAGGTGGTCGACAGCGATAGTGTGGTGGTTGGGAGAAGCTTGAAAGGAGTTGGGGAGGCAAGACAACAGTAATCACCTGCAGGAAGGGGGAATGGTTGGGTGTCGGGGTGACGGAGGGAGAGTTCAGCAGCTGAGGAGTGGGGAGGAGAATGTTCGGGGAAGGTAAAAGGAAGATACAATCACTACCTCAGAGAGGATAGCCGAAGCACCACCAAGTCCTCTAATATAGCCCACAAAAGGGCAAGACTTTCATACAGGAATTTGAGAGCAAACACAACCAAATCTCACTCCCCATGCACAGATGACAGCAATTTATGGGCTCCATGGAAACTTCTACACAAAAGACAAAAATGAGGCAAAAGGCAAGAGGAATCCAAAAGACAGTGTGAAGCTTCCCTGGAACACACTGCATCCGCACAGATTGCGAAATTTTGCGATCCCTCGCGAAGGGATCACGTATCTCGCCCGCCCCATTTCTCCTGCTAGAGTTCACTAGTCTTCAATTCCCTAGGATCGAAGCGCCTCGTATGGGGCATTGTTAGCGCCTGCATCAATATCTAACACCTAAACTCCAATTTTTACATGCATATCATCTTACCTATGCATTTAAAGGTGTACTTCACTTTTCAAAAGTTACAATTGTGATATTTTTGTTGTGATATGAAAGATTTAAGTGCTATGAATGTAAAAAAGCAAAATTTAGGTGCTAGATATGTAAATACATAAGAATTGGGTGGTATGTATGTAAATGCCCCTTATAGAAATTCTGTTAATTGTTAGCGAGCAAATGTCACAAAGCCATCTAATTACCCAAAAATGAAGGAAAATCAACATAGTTATAATGTACAGCATTATAAGTCGTGTGATGTTTCTAATAATTACCAGAAATTCACTGCAAATGATATAGTATCCATGGTGTAAGCATGACCACGAATAAAAAATCCTCCAAAAAATATCCTTTTGAGCCCATAACGAAGAGCATTCAAGTATGAGATCTACAATAAAAAAATTTGAATAAGAATGCTGCAGTTTTATATGAAGAAAATTAACGTTTGAAAACTAGACAGCATATTGGCCAACCAAGTACTGGAAAAAGTAAAAGAAATTTTGAAGAAAATGAAAAAACTATAAACAAAGAAATTTTTTAACTCAAAGTAAGAAATCCTCAAAAGCATTTATCTCTTCTTGTCTACTGTGGGAAAACTGGGTCTCCTCTATAATTGCAAAGATCCTCATCATCTCAGTTATCACTTGAAGTTGCTAACAGTAGTGACTTGTATGCTTAATAACAATTTTAATGAAGGGGATTTACATGCGTAACACACAATTTTTATGTATTTAGATATCTCACACCTAAGCTTTCATATTCATAAACATAGCACTCAAATATTTAATATCACATCAAAATAACACTATTACTATTTTTTAAAAGTGAGATACATATTTCTTGCATAGGCTTAAAATACCAAAGTGCTATGTGATTAAATATGAAAGTTTAGATATGAGATATGTAAATACATAAGAGGGCTACGTAAGTAAATTTTCCTTCAAAAAATAAAACCTCCAATTAACAGGCTGTCAGAAAGCATGGGATTGTATATGAAAAAAAGGCTAGTTCAATCTATACAAAAAATTTTGATTTCAGATTTCAGTGGAATTATTTTATTGATATGAAAATGGGAATAAATACACCTTACATAAATCCTAGAATAGGAAAGATATGAAAAAAGAAATATTAGAAAGGGAAAGATACAACACATATATCTCCAATTAATCAATTCCTAATAATTACTTGGAGATAAAAAAAAACATAAAATGGGAAAGCATAAAATAGGAAAGGAAATAATCCAATCTAAGAAAATAAAATTAAAATAAGAACGGAAATAAACCAATTTAAGAAAATAAACTTAATCCTCATAACTTCTAACATGAATAGATTAATTCCTAACATAGCGTCTAACGCTTCTCCTCAAGTTGAAACATGGTTGACAATCATGTTCAACATGGATTTGAAAATATCAAACAATGAGCAAGGAAGATGCTTTGCGACAGAACTTGAAGTCTTCACATGTACTTGGTAATCAACCCCAAGAGCATTTAGGGATATTTTTAGTTGACTGCAATGTCTGTAGGTAGACGGAAGACTTCTACTGATAATGTTACGGGGAAGTTTGCAGGGAAGCAATAACCTACAAAAAAAACTAACTTCTAGTTGACTATAATTGTCTTTGACTGCAATTTCTGCAGTATTTGTAGGTAGGCGGAAGGCTTCTATAGGTAATGCTACAGAGAAGTTTATAGGGAAGTATACAACCTAAAGGAAAGCTGCAAGGTATGACCTATTGAATAAAAAAAAAGAATGTCTGCAAAGAAAGCTATAGAGTGTGACCTGCAGAAAAAAAAAACACCTAGGGAAAACTACAGGGTATGATCTGCAAGTAAAAAGGAAGAACATCTGCAAAGAAAACTACAGGGTATGGTGATTCCATGTAAATTTGCATAAAATTCTTTTACCACTGGAACCACCACGGCGGCAGTAGCGTAGCACAGCACTTCCCATCTTCGTCGCACTATCATTTCTTCAATATCCGTCGTGGGAGTATTCAATCCGCGATTCACGAATCCTCGTTCTTTGATTAATTTTTTTCTTCGTCAGCAACTTGTTCAAGATTCCCTGCGCTTTCGCACTAATAAACTTTCGTCGATTGAAAACTCGTATTCTGGGATTATCAGGGGAATTGGATGCCATAGTAATGAAATTGATAGAGTTTCACTTCGTTTTTGGAGGGAAAATATGAACTGGAATTCAAATTTTTTAGTTTAAAAAGACTATTCCCGCCCAAAAACCGCCAAAAACCACCATTTGAACCCGCATAATTGTCCATTCGCTGGTCTCGCCGTCCGCGGGGTTGGGGGGGTTGATGGCGCCGTCGGCGAGCTTCTATATTAATTTTGTCTGGACTCTCGGGAAAAAACTGCCGTCGACGGCGTCGAGGGCGACGTCGAGGGCGCCGTCGGCGCCCAAGGCAAAATTTTCACAGTTTCGCTCTGGTCCGAATGCGTTCCAATTTTTCTTCATGGATCTAATTTTTATGATAATTCAAAGGTAAATAAGAGTAGTACAGTTTAATACTACCATAAACTAGCGATAATCTCAAATAAAAACTATAATTGCGAATAAAGTAAAAATAAATATGAATTGTCTCCCATAAAGCGTTTGATTTAACGCCGTCAGCCTGACCTATTCAGGTGTTATTCATATGACTGATCATTAAAACCTCTTTAAAATTTAGTCTTTTACCCTCATAATATAGTTTTAATCTATGTCCATTGACTTTAAATCTATTTCCCGTCTTCTGATCTTCAATTTCAGCAGCTCCGTAAGTATAAACTTGAGCCACAGTAAAGGGTCCTAACCAACGAGACTTCAATTTCGCAGGAAATAACTTTAGTTTAGTGTTGTAAAGCAAAACTTCTTGTCCTTGTTCAAAGTGTTTTTAGTTAAT